CTGTGGAGTCCAGAGCCCTATCTCTAGGATACAGCATGCTTCAGTACCTCACATTCAGTGCCCCTAGAAAACAACTCCTCAACTCCTTCTCAGATCCCCATGGCACCATGGCTCCAGGGATGCAGTGCCAACATCATCTGCTCCTGCTACAGTGAGACAACTGATAGCCAGTTCTTCCCAATTCACCACTCCTTATCCTGAGTGGACTTTCATCTGCTCTGGGCCTGTCTCCACTTTCCCTGGTAGACTGTAGCCACCTTCTTCCTCTCCTCATCTCTCCCCACAACCTCCCCTAAGCTATGCACAAGAGCACGCTCCTAAGGCACGGCCATGGCATTTCCTTGTTCAAACAGCTTTAATGACGCCCACTGATTAGTACATTCCAATTTCCTAGTTGGCACTTGAAACCATTATTGTTCGGCACCACATATTTTCCAGTTTTATTTCCCCTTGGATGCCTATATAGACCAGTTCTAACTCAACTGGACTTGGTATTTTCCCTGAATATGTTGTGCTTTCTCAATCTCCCTCTATTTCTATTTCAAATGCCTCCTTGAATTACTAGAATAATTCTTTATACAAGAATGATTTCTTCGTACAGTCATTTACATATATTTGTAAACACACACACATGCACACACGTTAGCTTTTTCAGCTCTGTAACAGTCTGAGACGGAAGAGATCAGTTGTTTTTCTGCTACATTCCCCCATCTCTCTAGCAGGGTTCTACTTGTGGCTGTTACTCAATAAACATTTGCTGTGTAGCATTTATAGAACTCCTTAAAAGTTTACCAACTGTGTTCACTGCATCATTTTTATTACATTGTTTTTATTTGAGACAAGGAGCATTCAAGTCTTACACTCTGATTTCTATTGCTTAATGCTGTTCCTAGAGCTGTCTTTAACTTTTTATCCCATAAATCAAACAAAGGTATTTCTTCAAATGCTTTACTTGTTGAGTGCCCATAGTCCTCTGACCTAAAAACTAAAACAAATCATTCTGAATCAAAAATGAATCCTCTTGCCAAATTGACTTTTCCCCTGCCTATGAGCTACGTATATAAATAAAAGTTTCCATTGCAAGTGACAGTAATAGAAAAAAGAACATTTGAAAGCTGGAAATTCTTAGATATTTTAAAATTTTTTGAAAGTGAAAATGACGTGAGTCAAACACCAACATTCTTAAACTTGATATTACCAAAAGAAAATAGTTAGTAGCTGAACACATAATTCCTTGCTAAAAGATTGGACATGACTAATAATACCAATTATAAAAGCACATTAACCTGTTTAAGTACCCAAGTATCTTAGAGAAATTCAATTTTAAATCGAACCCAGGCCATATTATTGTTTTTAAATTGAAAGCATAAGTTTAATAGATGGATCGAAGCATATGCTAAACGTGGGGGGAAAATGAAAAACTGAACTGAAAGGCAAGAACTTTGAAATGTCCATTACTGTAGCCTGTTCCTGTGACGGATGGTACTTCATGGCTGCTGGAGCGCAGGGAAGAGAGCCATGAAGAGCCATGAGGAAGGGCCTTGCCCATCAACTCTGCCTCTCTGGATGTCATATAGAATTTAGGCTGCAGGATTCTGGAAGATGGGGACCTTGCTTTGAACTTTGTGATCCTAGCACAGAGCTTTGCATACAGAATGCACTCCATAAATAAAGGATGAGGTGCGAAGCCCTCCATGACCTGTCTTCATTTTCACATTTAAATCTATTCTTCTTTACCTCCTAGGAATATCATGAGGAGTCAATTATTAACACACTGCCTGGCACATAAAGACACATAACTATTTGACAAATGTTAGTTGTTATTGTTACCACTAGGAATTTGTATCTAGCCTCCAACATAGAGCTTAGTGTGCTGGGCTGTCAGTATGTCTATGTGAGAACTGCAAATGTCTCTGTTTGTGTTCTTCACACTTGGATACTTTGCAACTATCAGAGGGCTCCCCCACAGCAAGTGGAGAAGCTGATTGCGTGCCTGGGCAACACAGTCCTGCTTTGATCTCCACCCACTGGGCCACGAAGAGTTAAACTGGGTTTCAGTAATGTCTGGGGGTCCTTATGCCTTGAAGAAGCCCCAGATCTATCAAGACATGCACAAAAACTCACATAACAGTTGCTGGCAGAACTAAAATGAGAAGCAGTTGTCTTGAAGCCCTGCGTTCTCCCTCACCATAGGGGCCTTGTACACCTTGCCTCCTTAATAGCAGATCACTTGAGAGTCATGGAATCTTTGCAAAGCACAAACCTGGCATGTTGCAATCATGAATCACACAACTTCCCTTATTTGACACAGACTAAGGAAAGATACCTATTTTAGTTACCTCAGTTAGAACAGATCAGCCTTAACAGAGTTAGTTTCCATGCTTTGGAAGAAATCACTTGGAAATCCTCGGTTCTGAGTCCTCCATCTCCTCCACATCAAGATCTAAGAAAAGAAAATAGTGCCGTGTCCCATGACTAGTTTCTAGGATTCGATTTTCCACAACAACAGTAACTGCAATCACTATATATGGAGAACCTACTTTAATTTAGTCCCACACCAAGTACGTGAATAGGGTAATCTCCATAACACCCCTCCATGACACAGCTGTACAGAACATTTCCCCATTTTACAGCTGCAAACACAGCAGCTCTGTCATGAACCTATTCAAGGTCACACACAGCTGGTTTAAGTGAAAGCTGGGACTCAAACCCAAGTTAGCTTGATTGCAAAATTTGGACCACTAACCAGTAAGTTGAAGATTCGAAACGATTTTTTTGACACTCAGTTTAAAAATTGCTTTTTATAAGCCAAAAGTTTCATTAAACCAATGTTCACTGTTACTATATGTAACACATGCTTTTTCTATTCTTTTCTACTATACTATATATTCTAATCTTTAAAAAAAAAAAAAAAAAATCTCAGTAGTGACCCACCAAACGGATTCTATAGTCTTGTAATGGGTGTTTTTGCTCCTGGAAAAACACTGGCCTGGTGGAGGCTTGGAATCTTAGCTGTAAGTTCGAGACCAGCCTAGGCTACATTGTTCGTTCCAGGCCAGCAGCTGCTACTTAGCAAGACCTTGTCACGAAACCAACACAACGGCAACTCAACCCAACCCAACCCAAAATAGAGCTCTTCCATCTTTCATATAGTAACTCCCCTTCTCTGAAACCACAACAGAACCGCCATTCTTTCCAGCCAGGAGGGCTAGCAATTGCGCTTCACAATTAGAATAGTCTTTAACCTTTAAAATATGTATTAAGGTACATATCATGTATCATTAGAAAAGAAACTTCCTTAGGCTCAAATTCCAGAAAGGAACTAGGCACTTACCCACAGCAGAGCAGGAGTTATAAAGTGGAACCGCAGATAGGCTAAAATCTCAAGTTACTTATTGGATAACCTGCAAAGTGCCTAACAGCGGCAGGTTGTGTTGTCCCAACTGAGCAAGGCTGCAGGAGCTGGTGACTGCAACCCCCTGGGGAAAGGGCCCTGCCTTCGCACATCCCCTTCGATTTCAGGGGCTTCAATTCCAGGGGCTTGGGATGTTGCACCGGGAAATCATCGCAATCTTAGGGTCTGGACTCCAGTCGGATTCCCGACTCAAGGGAAGGAGGTGCGACAGTCCGCGCAGTTCCCGGGCCGGTAGGACCTGAGCTCACGGTGTCCGCTGCCCCAGGTGCGCATCTCTGTCCCGGCGCGGCCCGTGGCCTCCAGCTGTTCGCACACAGCTGGGCCGCAGCCTTGCAGAATCCAGCTGCGGCGGCCTCGGGGTCCCTCGGGGCAGCTCGCCGGGCACCGGGCACGGGGGGCACCGGGCACTGGACACCTGGCGCGCGGCCGCTCGGCTCCAGGTCCGCGGCGCTGCAGCCCTACAAGCGCTGGCCACCGGGCTCCCCGCCCCTCCGCCCGCCCGCGAAGCCCGGCCCCGGGCACTTACAGGGCTTCGCTCCGTCGCCAGCCCGCTTCCCCCGGGGGCCATGGTGCTTCCGGACACGGAGTCCGGCCGCCGCGCAGCGCAGCGCCGCCCAGAAAATGGACGCCGGCGGCTGGACTCTCCGGTCCGGCCCGCCCCCGCCGCCGCCAGACTACGCGGCCGGTCGGGAAGAGGTCAGCGCGACCCTCGGCACCCAGGCCCAGGCCTCGGGAGCACTGCGGCGGGATCGCCACGGGCCGAAAGGCGCCGGGCGAGACCCGGGGCTGATGGCGCAGCGGGCGCCAGCCGGGGCACCACCCTGATCTCCCGGTTCCGGGCCGGGCAACCCAGACCCAGAACCGGCCACTGTCAGAACCGGCACAAGCCGCGGGAGGCCCCGGGCACTCGGCAGAGGCGGCACTGGGGAAGTCCTGTGCAGTTTTAACCGCACCAAATTTTCAGAACAGGCTGTCACCTGTGCGTGCCCATGGCGGCCAGGAGAGGCCTAGACTGATTTTTCCCAATGTAGTATAAGAACTATTTCATGCCAAAAAGCCAGCCTTCTTCCTTAAATAAAGGCTACAGCCTGCCTGCTGGGATCCTTCTTCCTCCAACCAGAGGTTGTGCGCTGGAAAGTATTTACTAAGAGGCTTCCACAAACTCGCTTGTCTAGCTGCTTCGTGCGTACATGCAGGTGTTGGTTGTTTTATTTTGGATCACCCACCTTCCCTGTGTTCTGTGTTGAGTCTTTAAATTTTTCTTTAGAAAAGACTTCCAGACTACAACTAAAAACTTTGAAAAAGTTTTTTTTTTTTTTAGTCTTGTGTACTTGCCTATTTTTAGCTTGGAATACAGTGTTTGCAGTTCTGCATCCCAGTTCCTGACCAACTGTTAAGAATGTGATCATTTTGGTGAGTTCAGTAGATTTCAATAGTATATGCAAGTAAAAGCATTTTTCGTGATACAAGGGAAAGATAGAGATTCTAAATATAATAAAGGAATGGCATCTTTTAAAATTTCAGAGTTCTAAAGGCTGTCGGTTCGGCAACATGCATACACATGTAACTAGCAGATCTCAGCCCTCTCAATGCCAAGCACCCTTTATTCTCTCTCCATGGGCCACAATGTTCAGAAAGAGCAATGCCACTAAACTGCACTTATTAACCAATGATTCATCTTCCCCCTTTAAAAAAAAGCTGCAATGTTTTTGTCCACGTAATTGCCAATCAGAGCTTCCACAAAAACCTGAGCTAACCAGTTGGTAATAATGGATTCCAACCTAGAAAAAAAAAAACAAAAAAAAAAAACTCATGGTCTAATTGCATGTTTGTATGTTTCCATTGAGTCTTTTGGAAAGTCTGAAAGTGATTTAAAAACCTCCAAGAAACTGATGTATACAGATTGGGAAGACCCAAGACCCATCCATTGAGTCTTTTGGAAAGTCTGAAAGTGATTTAAAAACCTCCAAGAAACTGATGTATACAGATTGGGAAGACCCATTTGCCATATTGCTCTCTGTGATTCCCTGTGACTGGAAGGTGGGAGGTGGTGGGAGGTGGGAATGTGCAAGGCAATTTGACCTTTGGATTCAGCCTGCCTGGGTTTAAATTTTTATTTTATTGTGCTTTATGAGTATGAGTGTTTTGCTTGCACGTTACTGTGAGTGCATGTGTTCCGTGCCCACGCTGGAGGCCAGAAGAGGGTGTCAGATCACCTGGAACTGTAGTTATGGATGGTTGTTATCTGCCCTGTGAGTGCTGGGAACTGAACTCAGGTCCTCTGCAAGAGCAGTCAGTGCTCTTAACCGCTGAGCCATCTCTCCAGCCCCTGCCTGGATTTAAAGGCCAGGGTATGTTGCTTACTAGGCCACTTCTCCGTCTCTCTGCTTTCTTAGCTAAACTGTTATACTAAAGCCTACCTCCTATTTTTTGTTTGTTTGTTTGTTTGCCTTTACAATGAAATGAGATAATACACCAGAAACATTTATGATAATTCCCAGCATGTAGTAAGTGCACTCTAACTTCAAGTTGGTATTTGTGGTATGTTAACTGGTGTTAATACTGGAGGTTAACTATTCAGAGTTATGGTTTTTGTTGCTGTTTGAAGTGATTAAGGTCACTTTTATACTCCAGAAATTTCTATGGGTAATCCACTAGGGTCATACGCTGAGTAACATAAGGAATTTTAAAACTGACAACATGGTCCACTTTCTTGTTTGGCTAATATGTTCAGGAGTTCCCTTGATCAGATGCGGTTACAGCTTGTTACTAGTCAAATTGGCTCTGGCTTTCTTAAGGGGTTTAGCACATGGGAAGGGCTCCTTATCTCTACTGGACATTCACAAACAGTTGCATTTTTCCATATTGGAGCCAAATGTTTCTCCAGAAACAAATAGATTTCCCCAAATTGTTATTAATATCTTAAGTATCATAGCAATAGACAGCCAGAAACTTACATAATCAGTCCTTCAAAATTTTCCATTCCACCTCATAACCAGTCACAGACTCCCTCTCTCTTAATCATTCTTTGAGTATGGGGAACTGTGTGGAAGTTTCCAGAAATGTCCCACCTTGTCATAATTATGTTTCTTTCTATAAAGGTTTTTGTTATAGATTATTTTTTTTCTAGGATAACTAGAAAAAAATGTGGTGTGTTTTCTCTGTAATAAATGTTCATTACGGTACATTTAAAAAGAAAAAAAATTCAATACTTTCAAGCGTCTCCTTAAATTTCTACTTGTTCAGTGTCTCCATAGCACAGCGCTGGGTCCTTTCCCAGGAAGCTAGCTGTGCCTTCTATCTCACTTCATTTAATTCCCACGTGATGTCTCTTATTCCTCTGTGCTTTTGACTAAAGCTACGGACCAGTTTAACACTGACTGCCCTATTCTTTTCTTTATAGGGCTTCAGGATTATCAGAATTGCAAATAAAAAGACTAAAAACATTCCCTCTTTAAGCCAGTTTGCTTCTTTCTTTCTTGCCACTACTTCTCCTGCCTCCTGTAGTCATAGCTCTGTCAGTTTCCAGGAAACTTTTCCCCTTTTCTTCATCCTGTTGGCTCACTGACTTCTCTCAGCCTTCCTTCCTGCTTACTTCTTTCCCTTCAAGCATTTCAAGACCACTGGCACCCTTATCATTTTCTTTCTCCTGGACCATATAACTGAAAGGCCTCTGTGGCGTGACTGTGAGGCACTGTTTAGAACTGACACCTGTGGGTCCCTGGCAGAGAAAAGTGTGAAAGGCCACATCCTAGGTGAACCTGACCTGCAGGAGAATTCCTGTAACACCTAGAGTAGGAGGTAAGGGCTGAGTACCCACTACCCAGACCAAGACTCTTGTTGCCAGGTGGAAATGGCAGATTTGTAGACTATTCCAATAAAACCCCCACATCGGGCTTTTCACAAAAGACCTATGAAATGTTGAGGAAGGAAGGAAGGGAGGGAGGGAGGGAGGGTGGGAAGGAGGGAGGGATAAAGAGCCCAAATCCGATGGAGCCTTTAGCTGTAATTACCAGTTTATAGGAAATTTCTGAGATGCAATCATCCAATTTCTTTTTTTTTTTTTTTTTTTTTTTTTTTTTTTTTTTGTTTTTTTTAGTCAGGGTTCCCCTACAAAGTCCCTTTCATCGTGTTGGAAGTGCGGGGATCGGGCTGAGGACTGATCTTAGGAAAGCTTTTTCCAGTCCAGTGCAAACAATTCTCAAAGGCATGTACCACAATGCCTGGCCAATCATCCAATTTCTGATTGGGGGAACTCTGTGGTCTAAGGGTTTCTTCAACATTTTTTTTTTTTTCTTTTTAAGTAGCAATGGCAAGAATAAAAGAGGAGGGAAAGCTGTAAACAAAATATAATATAGTATCAAATGTACTATATGGAACCTATTTGGAATTGTGCTTTGACCTAATAAATTGTTTGTTTAATGACCTAATCAGACAAATTCAAATATTGACCATGACATGTGATAGGATTTGACAGTATGGTATGGCAGTGTGGTTATTTTTCACTCTAGAAATCCATATTCAAGAAAATCGAAATAACCCACAGTTTAAACACTTTTTATTTAGAGATACTTCAAACTTCTAGAACTTCAAGAATAGTGCCAAAAGGTTCTGGATGCTTCTATCCAAGTCTTTTCCTTCTTCCTTTTTTCTTTTTCCCTTTCCTCCTCCCTTTCTTCCTCCATCATTCCTGAACTATTTGAAAGTTACAGATATTAGTCTCTTTTAGCCTTAAATAATTCAGTATTTCTTTGCCTAAGACAAAAAGTTTTCTATTAGAGTTTGCATCTTTTAGAGAACTATGCTGGAAGGTGCAGAGATAAAATGATAAGAGTATGAGATTTGCTTCCTAACAACAAGGAAATTAACACAAAAGGGGGGATTTTTGCTTCCACATATGTTTAAGATTTTCATAGTAATAAAACTAAAGGTTATGTCTGTGAAAGATTTTTTAATTGGTATAAAATGCTTGAGCTGGGCTGGAGAGATGGTTCAG